TTCATAGTCCGCAGGCAGGCGCGCTGGCGCGCTGGCGCGCAGGCAGGCGCGCTGGCGCGCTGGCGCGCAGGCAGTGCTAGGGGGGAGGAGGGAGGCAGAGTGTAAGGCAAACAGTCCACGCCCCTACGAAGGTTGTTTGTTTTCAACCCCTCGAAGGGGCGTGGGCTGTTTGCCTCACACTGTCTGCCTCCCTCCTCCCCCCTAGCACTGCCTACGCGCCAGCGCGCCTGCCTGCGCGCCAGCGCGCCAGCGCGCCTGCCTGCGGACTATGAAAGCAGCCAATAAACTGTTTTATAGAGGAGAAAGAGCTCTTTCGAATGAATATCTACACTTCGCCAAAAAACAAAGCGAATCAGTGTAAAATGACCCTAACACAAAACTCTACGAACTTATGTTACAACCCAATAGAATGAAATGGAGACGACTGACAAGAACGGCGGACCCTGCAAGGCGCGGGATTAACACCAGTGAGAAGAAGAAAAAGAGGAAGACTGCACATGCACTATGCGCATGAGGCAAAAAAATCAGACAGCAGCAGTGACCAATAATAACTGACGAAGGGCACTCATAATTCCCGTTAACATATAGGAAATTAGAAGGAGAAATTTCAAGTAAAGACACGACGCCACAGAAATGCCAATCCGAAGTAAAAGCTTGGGCTAAACAACCGATCCGTGCCTGAGCTGTATGGCTACCAAAAATACAACAACGAAGCCATAAATTCAATCTCAGTTGAGAACTGCACATCCCAAAGTTCCGCTTGGAAAATGGCAAGCATATGGGACATGAAATAATTTTTAAACAATATATACGGTTCTTGCGATCACTCATTTCCCACAACTTGTGCATATGTTCAAGTGTTTCTTTACTATAGAGCCACCAAGTTTCATCGACTTTAAGAAGCTTTGCTTTAAGGTACCACATGATGGTATTTGGATTGATATGAACGAGCCCGCAACCTTCGGCACAAATGAGAAAAAACCATGGTATTTCAAAGAGCACGACCATCCCAACGTGGAGCCGCTCAAGTGCCCGTCTAATTCTGTGGAAAGGGAATGGGAAGTGCCACCATATCAGACGCACTCAGTTTATCACTACGACGGAGTGAGTTCTTATAAACCGAAAAGAACCGTGAAAGAAACAAATCATGGCATGCTCACAACAACATCAAAACTTACTCAAGTAGGGCTATGAAAGTAAGTGGGACGAGTCTTCTGGCTCAGGAAGGGTTGCTCCTAAGTTACTTGCGATGGGGAAAAATGAAAAATTCGTCCCAATTCGTTTGACTTAATTAATTTTGCTGCTGCGTATGCAAAGTATTAAAGTGGAAAAAGCTCACACCCCGTTTCGCGGTGAATCATCTTCCCTACTCTGCTCAACGATAAAACACTACGTGGGTAAATTTTCATCTACAACTACATACATATGAATCACATAAACGACTTTCTTCAGGAATCAAGCTTAGCTGCAAAAACGTTGTGCATGACGGCAATGCAGGGTGATGGAAAGCTTAGATTTTATGATGTGAAAAACCTTTATGGGTGGAGTGAAGCAAAAGCAACTCAACAAGCTCAACATACAGCAATGGGAAAAAGAGGAGTTGTGATTTCACGGTTAGCCTTTTTCTTCATCACACCATCGACTTGTATAAAATCTTGGCTCATGAATCCATATGGTAGATTCAGAGTTACAGATTACTGCTTTATAATAAAAGAAGGACATACACTTCGTTAAAAATGTGTGTGTCTCGATGCGTGTATCGGTGTAAGTGTATAAGAGTATGTGTATCCGTGAATGGTGCGTGAGTAGTCAGAAATTCACAACTCCAATCCCCTGGACAATTGGAAGCGATACATGAGGTAGAATGAGTACAGTAAACGTAGATGATTGGAAAAGACAACAATTAATAGGGACTGATGAACAGCCTTCGAAGGCAAGAGCCAGAGAACCATCATCCCCTTCGTGTTAGCAGTCCCAACCGTGGCACTCTCGCAATTGATGTGGGCTGCAGAGGGACCGTAGATGAGTGGTGACAAAAGTGTTAAATTAAGCAGCCATGGGAAGATGGAGTCATAGAGTCGGTCGCGCTCCGGAGAGTGATGAAGGCTTTGTCGGGGTGTAACACACTAGCTCGTCAAGGATTCCGAAAGAGAACGGGAATGCCGGCGTAGCTTTTTTCTGCCTGAAGACGCAAAGGTTCTCATCTTCTTGACTATCGAGCAGTCGGAACAATCTGACTGATTGAAACTTCGCAGTTTGGATGGCTAAATCGGTAAGAAAACGGAAAATGACTTGCAGGTCAACTTTCCCATCAGCAGGCCGATACGCTGGACATTGGTTAGGAGACAATACGGCCACTTGGGAAGATCTTCGCTCTTCCATCATAGGCGCTTTAGAGTTCAACATGTTTGGAATTCCGTAAGTACAGATTATAGCCCAAAACTGTTGTGCTCAAACATCCAGAACTGAAGGACTCCTTCCATTAGGTATGTTGGAGCGGATATCTGTGGCTTCAATGGCAATTCTCCTGAAGAACTCTGTCTACGATGGCAACAATTGGGAGCATTTTACCCATTCATGAGGTAACATAGAGTAACCCTTAGTTATTAGTTTACGATGATAGAAAGACTCGATTCCCCTTGTCAGTTTTGTTGAGCTGCTGCACTAAGCAGCAGCTTTGGTCAAGGCGTTTAGTTCCGCAAAGTTACTAGCTTATGGGCTTAAGAAGAACCCGGAGCGAAACTCGAACCAGGGCTTGCCTTCTGACCTACGTGCTCTTGTTCATTACACTATATAAGCCTTGTTAGCTACTGAGGCACTGGAATATTCAAATAATTTTCAAATCCCTTCAATGCTCCTTTGCTGAATATGTCTATGTAAGAATAATAAAAATAGGAACACAACTAGAATTTTTCAATCATGTTACGACCCCAAGAAATGGAAAATCACGACACGAAGGACACCCACAAAAGACATAGGGAGAGGAATTTGCTGGGAACGCTATCAACTTTTAAAACAATCTTTATACTACAAAGACACGCCAAACAAGCTTTCCAAAAAGTTGAATACAGTTTGTACACCCGATACAGAAAAGCAGTACTAGCTCGGAAAATTCTATACCGAAAGAAATTTTCAGGAACCATAATACAAAATTAGGAGCGCCACAAGATCCTGCACAGTGGCCAAAAGTGGTTGAGGCAACAAAAAAGGCTACTTTTTTCCGCTACAGATATCTACCGTATCTGTACAGGTAAAACATGAACCTTCAGGCGCAACGCATGCAAATAGAGCAGTTGGCGGTAAAAAGAACAGTACATTTACAGCAGGATTGTAGGAAGAACTTGTCTTACATGGCCAACACCTTTCGATCTACATAGTTCAACACCGTATAAAATGGCTTTTTTGGGAGCTGAGCAGTGACCAAGACTTTTTCGGGAGTTAAGCAGCGACCAACTTTCTTAAAGAAAAACTTGTACACGTAAGAAAGAAGAAGAAGAAGGTGTAAGAAAAACTCGTCTATTTAGTACAATACATTATTAAAAGGCTCTTTTCGGGAGCTAAGCAGCACTCCTCTTCCTCGTAAAAAGGCCTTGTACACGTAAATTGCCGAAGTTGCCGAAAGCGAAGTATTACTGTAATAATTGGTCTACCCATGGAAAGGGATACGGGATATTTCTAAACAATACTGTGACTTTTGTGCACCTCCGTTTGTAACGGGGACTACAAGAAATTGACCTACAAGTAAGAAGTACTCGAGACCAAGATTAAGCTCAAATGCAAGGCCGCTGGTCGTTTTTATAATCCATCGCAGCAGTATATCTCCAGTTTGCACTTCATTGCCTCAACAAAGGGAGGCAATGTTATCCGACCAATGTTCTACGAATATCCTGATGACGGATTTACGTACGAATTAAGCTACCAGTTCCTATGGGGACCGTCGATGCTCATCGCTCCTGTAGTATATGAGGTCAGTGAGCTTCGAATCACTACCAGACCGTAAAATTCAAACCGACAATTCAGAAAGCAACATCGGTGAAAGTCTACATACCCAAAGATGACTGGTTTTCGTTATACGATTTTCGCTACGGTCGCGCATTTCGAAGCGGTCTTCTTGAATTCCCAGCTCCAACAACATGGCTGATTCCTATTTTCGTCAGAGGTTGTTTTGTAGCTTCTTGACAATGGTCTCACTACCATCTTAGACGAATACGTGGTTCAAATCATCGAAAGGAGTTCAAGGGCACTCGTAGGAACAAGCAAATGAGGAAAACAGAAAATGAACAGCGATAAATGGATAGAAAGAGTGGAATCAGTCAGTAAAAGCCGCAACGTACGGATGTCTCATGGCATCCAATAGCTAATATCTCCAAACGCAGAACTTAGAAATGGCCATAAGATAGTTGGAAAAAGTAAAACAAAAAAGAGAATTAGAGAAACAAAAGAGAATTTCTGTAGGTTACGCATGCAATTGAAAATTAAGAATGTTAACTGAGAAACCGTCATGGACCTTTACATTGAATGACTCAATATTACTTGATCAGGTGGCTCTATTTTACCTCGCCAAAAACCGGACATAACAACTTTTGCGTCTCGAAAAAATGCTTTCGAGCTCTTAATTGTTCCATCCATTTCAGACAGTAAGTTCAGTATTTTTCAGTCAGCTCATTCCATTCTAATTCCAAAAATATTGCATAGAACAATTCTGATAAAGGCTCACACAGAAGTGAGAAACCTAAAAATTGAGTTAAATTTGGAAAATTATAGAGCTGAAGGATAGAGGAAAAAATAAAGGTAAAGCAGGAGTTCTATACTGGGATGACGGTGAAAGTGTGATCGAGTCGTTCGCCACGCACAACTACTATCAATGGTCATTCAAGTACCAAAAGAATTTTAACGGCGGAAATTTGATGATCAAAACCGAAAGACAAGCGGTGAGTTATAAGCATTGTCGAAGAAAGTGAGAGCAAAAAGGAGAGCATCTCATCTACAATTGGTAGCAAAAATTCGAAACGATCGTTAAGAAGAATAGCCAGCTCTTTCAAAAACAAGCAGCCCTACCCGTTTTCTACAGCAGGCTTAAAAGGATGAAATAACTCGACTTTAGTGTTGCTCATCGAGTTCAGTCTTTATTTTCTTACCTTACGACACTCTTCAGTAACAGCTGATTAGCATTGCCACCGAGAAATGAATAGGAGTTGAAAGGGTGGATTGGGTTGCTGGCTTTGACTGATTTTCAAGGAAAACTAGCGAGGAACCACCATTCCGTACTCCTCATTCATTAATTTTAAAAGACATACCCTAGCTGGATTCGGTTATAAAGGGGCAGCTCACAAAGCTCCTGAAATCGACTTGCCAGCTGCACTTCTTTTTAGAAATGGAATAGGCGTGGTACATTATATAAGCATTTACCTTGAGCGCTTTCTAGTATTGCCGGCCCACTGCTTAACCAAGAAACGTTTGAGAAGCGGGCTAATCTCAAATGTAATGCAAAGTAATGTTGCCCTAAATAAGCGATTTCAGAAGTCCCTGACCATACCCACGCTCGACAAAATCGAAATCTTTCATTACGAACACTCCACAGACCCGACGAAGTTCGAGCTCAATGGAAGACAGGTGTGAACATTGCGCCAAAACGTGCTCATTACTATTCTCACCTGTATGGCTCCGAATTGGAAAGCTCAACCTGCTTAAAAACCGTTCTTTTTTAGATTGAAGCCTCGGCTTATCTCGACAGGGAAAAGAAGATTTTGTTCATCTCTGCTAAAAATCTGATTGACATGTCGACCGGATCCACTGTGAACTTTTCATGGAGTCATTCGCACGAAGGAATGGTAGAATCAGGAAACGATGGCGAAAGTACGACGAGTAGTGACCCAGAGAGGAATGTCGAGTCAGACGGAAAGTGGGATCTGCAAATCAATGTCTTCAACCAACCAGCGAGTATTCTTCAGCCCTGTTCTAAGGCCATGGAGTCGCAGAATCGACTGCTCTCGATGGTCGTTACCACTATTTTTTGTCTACGGTACTTCGTGGACCGTTGGTTTCAGCAGTCGCTTTGATCACCCTACCTCTTCTTGGAGGTACTTAACAGCCGCTACCGTTGTTAGTAGAAACAAACGATTAGTAGAAACAGTATTCACTTAAAGTTTTGAAAAATCCACGCGTTGAAAGGCCACATTTCTGTTGTTTAAGCCCTTCAAATGTATATGTGTTTCGAATGTTTTTTTTGTATTTTGGAAAAATCGATAAAGTTATCAATTAATGGGTGACGTGTGCATTTTCTCGGAACTTCAAACAAACATCAATTAAGACCGACGATCAGCTTTCTTCACAAAGCTATTACGCAAGAAAAGCTCTCTGCAACTATATATCGGGAAAGGAGGGTCTACCGGACTAAAACGGCTGGAGATAAGGTTGAATGGAGACAGTCTTGCAAGGCTGGCGATTTATTTACAAAACTTCAGCCTCGAACGAGACCCGACCCCGTACTTGAACGGAGACAGCCGGTGCGCGATGAAGCAAATCGAAGATCAACAGGGAGCATGCGAAAGAATATCCATTTCATTAGTGGGAGCAACAATAATTCTCGACTTTTTTAACAGTAATAACAACAAGTGGTAGAAACGTTACAGAATCCTACTATATAAAATTCGCTAAGTGTGTCTGTTTGTTTATTTGTTTTTTTTTGTGTGTGTGTCGGTGTGTGTGCGTCTGACCGAAAATTCATAACTCCGGTCCCCGTGGACCTAGAGCGTTCAAAGTTGGTAGGAGTAAGGGGAGTAGGATGGGAACACTTATGGTGGGTGGCAGGACCGGACTCCGGGCACAGGGGGCGGGGCGTGCGCAATAGAAACTTTGAGCCGCAATCTCATAACTCCCGTTTACGTGGATCTAGAGCGTTGAAATTTGGTAGGATTACACTCTTCGTACTGACAGTGGAACCTTAGCATTTTAATACGTGATGTAGGATATGACGGTATCGTAGGTTCTCGGTGACAGGAATGATCATAAGTGATAAGAGAAGATATGGAACCTAAGAGAGGCCACCTATCGATTAAAATCCTAACGTCATCGGCATCTACGATGCAGCTTTGACTGTTCAGTATATTTCATTCGATAAGACGGGATGGTAGAGCAGGGTGACAAAAGTGAGTGGTAAGCACGGTGATAGGGACCCATTAGGGCAATACGATAAGCAGATTAGAACTTTGTTCATTTCCTTACTATTAGATTACGACCACTACCGAGCAAGGTTTGTGATTCAATGAAGGATCCTCTTTGCTTGATATCATTTGCAATAAAACTTAATAGACCGCCCGTAATCTGGAATTCTAACTCATGAAACCGTGAAGAAAATGGTTCATTGATAGAAAACATTTGATAACAGTGCTGTCATCGCTCAGAACATCTCCACAGCATCATCTTTGGTTGCCTTACGGTTGGATTTTTGATGGGTTCTTCTTTTCGATAAAGGGAGCGAGAGATTGGGAATTCCAATTAGAGGCGTAAGCACCGGCTTTCACCGTATACCGTGTGCACTGCCCTGATAGTCCTACGTTGAATTTCATGTACAGGGAACTACTATTTATTTCAAAAAAAGGAGTGGAGAGTCAGCCGACTTGCTACAACTTTGTCAAAGAAGGAGGAGAGCCTGGCGTTAGCCGGGCGGTCTGAAATACGTGGTCTGAAATATTGTGCTAAGCAGTCGTATCGCATGGCTAATGCCGAGCCTTCCTCCTTTTCCTATTTTACTAGGCCTACCGTGTGCACCATTTTCAAATTTGGATGTCGTGATACAGGAAAACAAGAGTTGTGAATTTCCGACCAAACACACCGACACAGTCACGACACACACACATACACATACACATTCACATGCACATACACATACACACATTTCACGAGCGGAATCCTGCTTAAGTCATCTGTGTCCTTCATCCTTACTTATTCCAACCCGGCCGAGTACTTTAAACCAGATTTCGCTCATTTTGCGCATGCTCCATCCATAGTCCTACTGATACCACCGGTGTTTTTTCTTGTCGTGCTTACCCATCTAAATATGCACGACCGAACTAGGGTAATTAAATACTTTCACGCACAACCGCTCCTCCGATCTTCAGCCTGTCAGCTACTATTAGTGTTCCCATCGTGCCGAATGCATCCCAAATTCGAATACCGTAGAACGTTTTTCAATTTCAACGATCCTATAACAGAACTGCACACGAACCCCCAAAAAAATCCTTACTATATATAAAGCGCTCGCGTCTGTCTGTCTGTCTGTCTGTCTGTCTGTCTGTCTGTCTGTCTGTCTGTTTGTTTGTTTGTCTGTCTG